CCCCCCCCCGCCATGACACCCAGGGCCTCAGCTGATCACAGAGTCCCTGTGGGGGAGACCTCAAGGGACCCTCCCAGTCCAAGTCCGTGATCTGTCTGGATCTCGAGGTCTGACAGTTGTGCTCACCTTCTCCTCCCACCCGCAGGGTTCCCGGAGAGCTCTGGATCAAGGCAAACGTGTTTTTCATCAAAAGCTGCTCACAGCCACCCCTGAGCTTACTACTAATTCCTTCTTAAGTCTGTCCCGAAGGGCCTACCTAGCGTAGGGCCAGCTGCTGGGCACAAGTAATAGGTTTTAATCAGCTGCATTAAGCTCTTCCATTTTAAGACATTTTAAAGTAGATGATGAGACTCAAGGTGTCAGGTGTCCAACAGTTCGACTTTGTGGCTGGGCAACAATTTGTGAAAATATCCATCACACAGGCACGCTCGTGATTCTACTGAAACCATCTGGGAACCCCTGTAAAATGTACAAGAAAAATCTCTGAAATACAAGAAAATACACGCCCTGAGAAGAAATGCAAGAGTTTTATTACAATCATTATTATTCTCGAGGTTCACAATTGATGAATTCATTCAGGAAAATATTTTGCATGTAATGATTTAGAACCCTGGGAGACATGCCAGGAGTAGCGAAAAGGACATGAACAATGTACCTTGGGAAACATTGCGACACTCCGGGCTGCAAAACTAAAAAGTATCAAGGACGCGTCTGAATTTCTGAATTTCGCAGGGGAGGGTACGGTGGTCCGCACAGGCCTGACCTAGCTCCAGGAGGTAGCTGGGGGCGGCTGCTGGCTCGCTGTGCTCCAGGGCATGCTGCCTCCCCACCCCCAGTCTGCATCTCTGCAAGCCAGTTTATACCAACATCTCAACATTTAAGAAATACCAGGTGTGATGACAGGGTGCCTTGAGGGTTAGACCCTGCCTCCCAGCAAATCAATGAGAAGGGAAACCAAACATGGCCTTTAGAATGTGAGGCAGCCCTGCTTCTCCCTCGGGGAAGGACGAGAGGCGGCTCTGATGAGGTCTGCGTCATTTTTACTGGTTGGCAGACGCAGGTTTGGTAAGGACATCAGCGAGGCTGGTGGTGTGCACACCTGCTGACCCACAGCAGACACGGCTGCTGGCGAGTGGGATGTCAGCGCCGTACCTGCTCCAAAAGCCTCTGTTCTGGAAGCTTGCAACGGCTGAGTAGATCAGCCCACTGGCTTTTCCAGAAAAATAAAAGCACTCTTATAGCCGTGAGCCAGGGAGCAGTCTAGGGCAGCTCTGGGCAGGAAAGATGGGCTGAAAGTGTAGGACAATCGGACTCACCCAGATGAACACAGGCCCGGGCACACCTGCATTTGTTGGATGGACAGGTTCTTCTAGCTCAAACGGAACATAGTGTTTCTGCCTTTCTCTAGAGAGACCACGGGCAGGTTTTCATCTGGCCTTTCCACGCATGCAATGCTCTTGCTTTAGTATTCCAGAACTAGCTTTATGTCTATTCCTTCACTGGTTGGTGGGCACTTCTAGAACTCAAAAGCAGCTCTAGAGGGGATTCTGAAACACACAGCTTTGCCTGGTTGCCCCGGTGGAGGCTGTCTGGATCAGGAGGCAGTGCCGGACTTGGGACGCACACTGTGATCTCCCCCCGGGGGGCTCCCGTCGGGCAGACTGCCTAGATTCGAATTTTCCAGGACGTGGCTCCTGAGAATAAAGAGCCATTTCAACGATGGGAGCTTCTCTTTGGCTTTTCCCAGGAGCACCTGGTGTCCCCCGTGTAGTGACCCCCATCTCATGGGGAGGGGAATTCAGGGGCGCTGGTGTCACTTTCACCCAAAACCTGCCCTGCCCTGCCTTCCTGAAACCTGTCCCATAAATTCACGCCCCGTTCTCCCCTAGCTGTTAAGACGCGGTGTCCTGTTACTAAAAAGCATGAAGTGGGCGACTTTTCCTCTCGCCTTCATCTGTCTCGTCCCCCCAAATGTGCGCCCTCTTGTTTTTAAGACCACAGGTAGGGCCTTGGATGACTGCTGACAGAGAAGTAAAGCTGAGCTCTGGCAACTTCCCTTGACTCAGGTCTGGGCAAGTTCGGCTTATGGCACTTGCAGGGAAACCATGACTCCTTGGACACAAGGTTGGGGGTCAGATCCTTTCTAGCTTCAGATACAGAAATTTAAGGCAAAGGCAGGGGCACCTGACTTTGTCTTAGATTTCCCAGTGGAGCAGTGTTTTTAAGAAAATGCCGGTTCTCTTTGCCAGGGAAATATGAAAGGTCAGGAAACTGAGGCACTGCTGGTGGAGGCACTGGGTCCTCGCCGTTCACTTGCGAGGCTGCTGGATGTGCTGGGTTCTCGGGGAAGGATGCTTGTCTATGGAGGCGTGGGGCTTCTGGTGAGCCACCTGCGCAGCCGCCGGGGGGAAGTCTTTGTCGCCCCGGGCGATCACACCAGAGATGAACACGGTCGGCTTGGGCGGGCTGGGGCTTTCCCATTCCTGGTCGTCCTTGTCTTTCTCTTCTTTGGGGTCTCCCGAATGTGGGTGTTTCTGCACGATGCGCATTCCACCAGCTTTCACGGCGGGCGGGTGTCCGGCTTTCGTCTCTAGCTTCCCCTCGGGAGGCGAAGACATGATGCGACCGCGTGTCCGAGGGGCTGGGACGGCGACGGCCTGGAACTTTGATTTAAACTTTTTCTGTGCGCACATAGACACGTGTTATATGCACAGGCGGGATAACAGCATCCCTAAGACACAAAGTCACACACACACACACACACACACACACACACGTTTTGGTGCTTATGTTACTTTGGGATGCGTTCTAGGTGTGGGATTCCTGAGTGGAAGGCAGCGGTGTGATTGCTGACAGGAGTAAAGGTTGCCACTCATAAATTGTTTCCAGTCTCCTGAGTACAAAGAGAGCTCTCTGCTCTCTTGCTTTGTGTGGCACTTCCCTTGACACATGAAGAATCTCTTCATGTCTGCCAGCCCTACTTTGCCCAGATTTGATTGGGCTTTGGCCTTTTCTTATTAATTTTTAATATATTTTTGTAGAGTACAGTTACTAACCTCTTCTCATCTGCACGGTAAATATTTATTCCAGAATTTTACTGTTTTTCATCTAGTTTGTGGTCTCTTTTGCAATAGGATTTTTTTTTATTTTTTGTAACTATGTATCTTTTATTGCTTCTACATAGCTAGCTTGTGGAGTAGTCTCGTGGCCACTGCCACAAAGTACCACAGACAGGTGGCTTAGAACAGCAGAAATGTATTCTCTCCCAGTTCTGGAGGTTAGAAGTCTGGAATCCATTTCCCTAGGCTGAGACCTGGGTGTCACAGAGCAGTGCCCCCACAGAGGCTCCGGCAACCCCCACTACTGGGGGGACACACTTCTCACCCCTTCCAGGGTGCGGCGGCTGCCCGTGTCCCCTTGGGTCACTGCCTGCTGTGTCACTCTAGTCTTCAAGGCTGCCATCCTCAAGTATCTCTGCTCTGTCTTCGCGTGGCTGCCTCCCCGGGTGCGTCCAGTCCCCTCTGCCTCTCCTACAAGTACATTGATTGCATCTAGGGCCCTCTCAAATAATCCAGGATAATCTTATCTCCAGAGCTTTAATTTAATCATATCTGTGAAGATCCTATTTCCAAATAAGGTAAAATTTACAGGCTCCAGATTAGGATCTGACATTTTGGGGGGCCATTGTCGACCTCAGAGAGTCAGGGACCTGGGGCGGCGGAGGAACTGAGAAAAAAAGACGACAGTATAGCAGGAACAGGGGACCCCAAGCTAACAGCCCGAGGTCCCGAGGTTTATTTTCCATAATCTAATATACTTTCTACAATGATATAGATCTATAATGATTTACAGCAGGGGCTTAGTAAGGCACATTCTTCCACGTACACAGGGTTAGTTAAGTGAAGCAGTGGGAGTGGAGAAGGAATAAAGAAATCTGTAACTGGCTGTGATCAATTCCTTGTAAACACCATTGTACTCGGACCTTTAACACAGGATAAGAGAACAAAGAAGGGAATGCCCCGTGTGCTGTTTACAGCGGGCCTCCTATCTACAAAACATCTTCTGCTGTGTACTTTAGAACAGACCGCACACATCTCAAGGGCATTTCACTCTGATCCTTTTGGGTTATTTTTATTTTTTTTTTTAAAGATTTTATTCATTTATTCATGAGAGACAGAGAGAGAGAGAGAAGCAGAGGGAGAAGCAGGCTCCCAAGGAGCAGGGAGCCTGATGCGGGACTTGATCCCAGGACCCTGGGATCATGACCTGAGCCGAAGGCAGACGCTCAACCATCTGAGCCACCCAGGCGCCCTTTTTGGGTTATTTTTAACCCTGCAATCTCGAGTTTTCTCAGAGATCTCGGAGTCTGAACGAACGTGCACCAGTGGTTGTTGTAGCGTTCTGTTTCCCACAGGCCTTTATTTAGCCTCCCATAGCTGGGTTAAAGTTCTCCCTACTCTATGACTGTATATACCTGTATTTGCATAGATTTTCTTGAAAGTATTGGTATGTTTTTTGTTTTTGCTTTTGTTTTGTTGGTTTTTTTTTAAGATTTTATTTATTTGAGAGAGAGCAGAGCGAGAGAGATTATGAGTAGAGGGGGAGGGGCAGAGGGAGAGGGAGAAGCAGACTCCCGCTGAGCAGGGAGCCTGATGTAGGGCCTGATCCCAAGTCTCAAGACCCTGGGATCATGACCTGAGCTGAAGGCAGATACTTAACCAACTGAGCCACCCAGGTGCTCCTGTTTTTGTTTTTTTAAAGATCTATTTATTCATTTTAGAGAGAGAGTTTGAGTGAGTGGGGCAGGGGAGGGGCAGAGGGAGAGGGAGAGAGAATCCCAAACAGACTCCCCACTGAGCATGGAGCCTGAGGTGGGGCTTGATCTCATGACCCGAGATCATGACCTGAGCCGAAACCAAGAGTTGGATGCTTAACCGACTGAGCCACCCGGGTGCCCTAGTATTAGTATGTTTTTATTCCGCTTAAAACATATTTTTCTATACGGTGTAATATAGGGGTCCTTTCACTTGTGCCAGATTAAACCACTTTATCTTTTTCAGACTGAATTAAAATAGCACCTTCATTATTGATATAATCGTGCGTGCACCATTTCTGGATTCTCTGTTAAGTTCCCTTATCTGTTGATCCATTCCTGAGCCTCTACCCTGTGGATATGATTACTGTGATTTTATGTTATGTTTTTTATAATGCTGAAGACATTTACACTTATAAATTTCTCTGAAACCAGATATTGCTTCGTTTCATGGTTTTGCTATGAAGTGCTCCACTATTTATAGCTTTCTAGAGAATGCAGAAATTCACTTTTCTTTTCTCCTGTGATGTACAGATGATCTAAGAGTGAGTTTTTAAATTTTCAAGTAGATATGATTTGTTTTATGTGTCACACGTTAATGGTCTGCTTCTCATTTTCTTAGATTATGAGCAAAGAATGAAGCTGGTAGAATATCTCCCTTCAACTGGTTTTCTTGGGTTTTCTTAATGGCCATCACAGGACAGATTTTTATAATGTTCTAAGGACAAAGAGTTATTTTAAGGGATTTGACATATAGAATGAGAAATATGTATAAATGTTTACACATAATCAAGTTTATTGATATTATTATTTAATTTTCATATATTCTCATTTATTCCTTATTAGACATACCCATTTCTGAGAGACCTATTTTGAAGCTTATATTGTGGTAGTGTTTTATTGCATTACTGTTAGCTTTTGCTTTATATATTTAGCTGCTGTGTTGTTTGGCACATACCAGTTGGCAACTGTCACTGCTCCATAAATTGTGCCATAACAGAATAAGGCCCTACTCTTTCCCATCTAGTACTTTTAAGCCCTCCCAACTCATTCTAATTTTTACTGAGATTCTTTATCCTGTTGGCTGTAGGTCAGTGTTTCTTAACCTTCTCTTCATTGTCACCTTACTAAGGGAGACTTTTTAGACATTTTTTTCCTAAACCGGCCACCCCATGAGATTTTAATACCATAGATACATTGCATATTTCTTGTATGTATATATGTGTTTTATTTATAAAAAGAGTAACTTATACCAACTTATAAAAAGAGTAACTTATACCAACTCCGCCCCTTTCGGGTAATAGCACCTCCCATTGAGAATCACGTAATAGATTCTCAGTAGAGCATTAGAACTTCCCTTGTGTCTGTTCTGTTTCAAGAATCCTTCTTTATCAGGTACAGCAAATACATATCCATATCCTGTTGCTCATCCCTTGTTCTTCTCCCCTTCATCATCCTCAGTGGTGGGTAGTGTTATTTGATTAGAGTCTTTCCTTGAGTATGTTCCTCATATGGGTCATGTAGGTAATATAGTCTCTAAATGTGTATATATCTGCAAATATTTCTCTTTTTTTGACCCTGGCAGTTAAAATCTTTGGGTAAAGCATTCCCTTGCTCTAGTTTGTTCTTTCAGAGTCTGAGGCCACCATGTACTGGCTTAGTGTTGCAGATGACTGGCTCTGTGCCCATCTGATCCATTTTGCTCAAGAGGTAACTCTTTTTGGTTTTTTTTGGCCAAAAGTTTGTAAGAATTTCTCTTTCTCCTTGGTGTTGGATTGATTTCATAGAGTGTGCCTAAATGTGTCTTTCCACATTACATTTGCCTTCATCTTCAATTATCTTTTCCCAACATGTAGATTTGGGCCTTTTCCTCAAGTGGGACAATTTCTCTTCTGTTATTTGAAAGCTTATTTTTCCTGCCTCTTGTTTTCTTCCAACACATCTATTAGCCACATGTTATATATTCTCGATTTATCTATCATGTTTTTCTTCCCTTATCAGCCTGTGTTTTCATGTGTGCGCGCGTGCATGTGTGTGCTTTGAAATATTTCTTCCGTTAGATCTTCAGACCACTAATTTGGGTCTCAACAGTGGCCATGTTCTTTAATTATTCTTCTAATTTAATTATAAAATCATAGAGCGTCAGTCCCAGCCATACTTGTCTGTTACTGAGTACTTACATTGTGTTTTAGCTCTAGCTCTGTCTTCTCGAGTAGCCTATGACATCAAGTGCCAGTGCATTCAAGCATCTTGTCTCTTGTTGGGCCCCTTAAATACATCGCTTTTTGACTTTTGCAGATTATTAGTGTCTTCTTCCTTTTAGGTGAAGGAGGGGAAGCATTAGGTGGTTAACTAGTTCCCCTCGATACTGCATACTCCAACCCCTAGGCAGGCTGCCTGGGCTTAATTGGCTTAAATTGTGCAACACGCCTCAGCCACTGACTATCTTCAAGATGATTTATTTAAGTTTGAAATGTTACCTAATGTTTCTCACCAGGAAGAGCAAGTTTTTAAATTAGTTGATCCTTGAGCAACACGGGGGTTAATGGGGCGCCAACCCACTGCATAGTCAAAAATCTGCATATAACTTTTGACTCCCCCAAAACTTGATACTAAGAGCCTCCTGTTGACCAGAGGCCTGACTGATAACAGAAATAGCCAACTAACACATATTTTGTATGTTATATGTACATTAAAGTGAGCTAAGAAAAAAATGTTAAGAAAATCATAAGAAAGAGAAAACACATTTACAGCACTATACTGAATTTATTGAAAAAATTTGCATATAAGTAGACCCATGCAGTTCAAACCCATGTTGTTCAAGAGTTTTTTTTTT